CTACATATGAGATCATATAAAAAAAAAAAAAAAAAATGAAGTTTTTTTGGTTTGGTTTTTTGTAAAAAAAAAAAAAAAAAATTGCACTAACTGGCACCTCCGAATTAACAGGAAAGATGAGAGCAGAGCCTTGTACCTGACCTTAGAAGGTGTAAAAAAAAAAAAAAAAAATTTAGTATTAGCTGTAGGTTTTTCACAAAAAAAAAAAAAAAAAAAGAAGAAGTTCCGTTCTATTCCTAATTTTCTAGAATTTCTGTCACGAATAGGAGTTGTGTACTATCAAAATAACTTTTTCTGTGTCAACTGAAATGATATGTTTTTTCCTTTTAATTTGTGAAAATGGTGAATTACATGGACTGATTTTTCAAATGTTAAATTAAAAAAAAAAAAAAAAAACAAATTCCACTTAGTCATGATGTATTATCTTTTTCATGTACTGCTGGATTTCATGTGTAAAAATCTTAAGAAAAAAAAAAAAAAAAAAAATGAGGAATAACAATCTGTAGTTTTCTCAAAAAAAAAAAAAAAAAATGATATCAAGGTAATGCTGGCCTTATAAAAAAAAAAAAAAAAAAACCCCTCCACTTCTATTTTCTAGAAAGTAAAAAAAAAAAAAAAAAATCTTCCTTAAATGGTTGACAGAACTTCAAAAAAAAAAAAAAAAAACTGGAGTTTTCTTTGTGGGAAGGTTTTAAAAAAAAAAAAAAAAAACTTCAAAATATATACGGTTATTCATGTAAAAAAAAAAAAAAAAAAAACCTATTTCTTTTTAAGTAAGCTTTGGTATAACAGTTTGTATCCTTTAGAGAATCTGTCCATTTCATTGAAAAAAAAAAAAAAAAAAAAATAACCTTACTCATTTATCTTTTTAACAAAAAAAAAAAAAAAAAATATGTACCCTCTTTCATTCCTGATCATAAAAAAAAAAAAAAAAAATCCTATCAAATGCTTTCTCTCCTAATAAAAAAAAAAAAAAAAAAAAATTTCCTCTAAGTACTGTATCCTACACATTTTAATATAGTACATATTTATTTTCATTAAGTTAAAATATTCAAAAAAAAAAAAAAAAAATTCTTCTTATGGATTACTTAGTAGTGTAAAAAAAAAAAAAAAAAAATTTGGGGATTTCCCAGATATATTTCTAAAAAAAAAAAAAAAAAACTATTGTGTTCAGAGAACATACTTTGTATTATTTCAATGCTCCACATTTCCTGAAACTTTTGTTTATACTCCAGAATGTGGTCTATATCAGTGAAATGTATTCAGTGCATTCATACACTTGAAAGGAAAGTGCATTCTGCTGTTACTAGATGAAATGACCCATAAATTTCAATGAGGGATTGAGGTATTGTTCGTGTCTTTCTAAATCCTTACTGATTTGCTGTTTCTTCTCTCAGTTTAGAGGGGAATGTTGAAATCTATAACTGTAATTTGTATTTTTTCCTTTCAGGTTTGTCTATTTTTGCTTTATGTCTGTTGCAGCTCAATTATTAGGTATGTATATATTTAGGACTGTTATATCCTCTTTAATTAAATAATTCACTTATTATGAAATGCCCATTCCTTACTGCAGGTAATATCCTTTGCTCTGAAATACACTTTGCCTCATATTAATACAGCCATTCCAGCTTTCTTTTGATAAATGTTCCATTCTTTTTACTTTTGCCCAAAAGTGTCCTTACATTTAAAATGGATTTCTTGTAGACAGTATATAACAGTTGGGTCCTTTTTATCCAATCTCCCAATCTCTGCCCTTTAACTCGGCTTCTTTAAACATTTTACATCTGATGCAATTATTGATATGGTAGGTTTTTCAAAAAAAAAAAAAAAAAAAAAACGTGTATACCTCATGTACACATGGGAAAAAAAAAAAAAAAAAAAATAGCTAGCATAGATCTATATATGGTAAAAAAAAAAAAAAAAAAATGCTATTCAAATTCTATTTGTTTCATTTTTTCCTGCCTCTTTTTGACTATTTTATCTTTCCTACTTGTATATAAAAAAAAAAAAAAAAAATTCTTTGTTCTCATTGCTTATTCTAAGAAAAAAAAAAAAAAAAAATAATTTATCTTACCCTATTTTCAAAGAAAAAAAAAAAAAAAAAAAAGTATATGAACCTTAGATGAGTATACAAAAAAAAAAAAAAAAAAATAGGCCCATGGGTTTGAACTGTGTGGGTCCACTTTCATGTGGATTCAACTAAATGCAAATCAAAAATATAGTAAAAAAAAAAAAAAAAAACCATGTATTACAGAGGGCCAACTTTTTAAAAAAAAAAAAAAAAAAGGGCTGGGGGACTTGAGTATGCATGAAAAAAAAAAAAAAAAAAAAATCATGGAACCTATCCCCTGAGTGTACAAAAAAAAAAAAAAAAAAGTGTTTCCCCCTCTCATTATTTATGCCAAAAAAAAAAAAAAAAAATTTACTCTAAATAATAAATTATTTTTTAAAAAAAAAAAAAAAAAAAGAGACTAAGATATGGGGAAATGTCTTAAAAAAAAAAAAAAAAAATACCACTTATTCCTCACTTCTTTTTGTAGAACTGAGATTTCATCTGCTATCACTTTTCTTTTGCCTGGAAAAAAAAAAAAAAAAAAAAAATAGCATATATGTACTAGTTTTTAATTCAAAAAAAAAAAAAAAAAATTTTGGTCTGTAAAGATCTTTAATTTAAAAAAAAAAAAAAAAAAACACACCTGTAATCCCAGCACTTTGGGAAAAAAAAAAAAAAAAAAAACCTGAGGTCCAGAGATCGAGACCAGCAAAAAAAAAAAAAAAAAATCCCGTCTCTACTAAAACTACAAAATTAAAAAAAAAAAAAAAAAAATGCCTGTAATCCCAGCTACTCTGGAGAAAAAAAAAAAAAAAAAACTTGAACCAGGGAGGTGGATGTTGCTGAAAAAAAAAAAAAAAAAATTGCACTCCAGCCTGGGCAACAAGAGCAAAAAAAAAAAAAAAAAAAACAAACAAACAAACAAACAAAAACAAAAAAAAAAAAAAAAAAAAATTTTTGCTAAGTAAAGGACATTGGGTAAAAAAAAAAAAAAAAAACTTTAAAGATTTTGCTCAATTCTCTGACTTAACAGCTTTTTGATGAGAACCATGCAGTCATTCTTATCTCTGAAAAAAAAAAAAAAAAAAGTCATTTTGCCTCTGATCATCTTTAAGAAAAAAAAAAAAAAAAAATTTTAGCAAATTGATTATGATGTGCCTTGGGCAAGATTTTCTTTGTTTCTTCTATTTGGGGTTTACTGAACTAAAAAAAAAAAAAAAAAAATAGTTTTGTGGCAGACAACTTCTAAAAAAAAAAAAAAAAAAAAATGCCTCATAGTATTCATGCCTTCATGTAAAAAAAAAAAAAAAAAAGTTGACTAATCCCATTAACTTGCTTTAAAAAAAAAAAAAAAAAAAAAATGACAGGTCAACACTTCTGAGATGAAAAAAAAAAAAAAAAAATGTCTTGCTTGCATTCTCTCTTTGGCAAAAAAAAAAAAAAAAAAATAATGAAGTTAGCTGCCATGTTGTGAGAAAAAAAAAAAAAAAAAATATGTGGTCCAGAATTGTGGGCAGCCTAAAAAAAAAAAAAAAAAAAGAAGCCAAGGCCCTCAGGCCAACAACAAAAAAAAAAAAAAAAAATGCCAATAACCATAAGCGAGCCTGAAAAAAAAAAAAAAAAAAAAAAAGCCCTGATATTATTGCAGCCTCAGCTGATACCTTGATTGTAGCCATGTGAAGAGTCCCTGAACCAGAGCGAAAAAAAAAAAAAAAAAAAGAAACTGGGACATAATGGATGTTTTGAAAAAAAAAAAAAAAAAAGGAATAATGTTTTAGGTAGCAATACATAACTAACACAGTTTTCATCAAATGTGGAAACATTTTGTCTAAGATAAAAAAAAAAAAAAAAAATCTCACATCTCCTGGGGACTCCATTTAAAAAAAAAAAAAAAAAAATTGATCTTGTCTCACATTATCTGTTGCAAAAAAAAAAAAAAAAAATTTTTCCACTTTTTTCTCTGTGCCTTAAAAAAAAAAAAAAAAAAAGTCACGGCATCAAGGTTGCTAATGCTTTCTTCTACAGCGTGTGTTTTTCATCTCCAGAAATATTATGTTTCTAAAAAAAAAAAAAAAAAAAGACATGTTCCATGTCTTGCTCATGTTAAAAAAAAAAAAAAAAAACTTGATCACATGTGGCATTTATAGTAGAAAAAAAAAAAAAAAAAATTTATTTTCTTCTTTCCAGTGCCTGTTAAAAAAAAAAAAAAAAAAACTATTTTGTGGGGTTTTAAAATTCCGAAAAAAAAAAAAAAAAAAAACCTGATTACTGTTGCTCTCTCTTGGAAAAAAAAAAAAAAAAAATTTATAAAAGCTCTCCAAGTGATTCTAAAAAAAAAAAAAAAAAAACAGTGGGTTAGTAGCTTTGATTTTCTTAAAAAAAAAAAAAAAAAAAGACAGCACACATTTTTTTCTGAGCTGAAAAAAAAAAAAAAAAAAAAAAGCTTGTATCTCAAAGTGCTACATAAAAAAAAAAAAAAAAAAAAGAAGCTTTTCACTAAAAGAAATGCCCAATATTACTTGGCAAAGAAACTGAGAAACCATTATTCTGTGGAAAAAAAAAAAAAAAAAAAACATTCAAACTGAAGTATCTGATTATAAGGTGACACAAAGTAATGTTCTAAGGCATGGAGGTAGGAATAATAAAAAAAAAAAAAAAAAAAACTGAGGCCAAAGGAAACAGAAAAACACAAAAAAAAAAAAAAAAAAAAAAGCATGTCCAATAGGAACAATATAGATAACCATCAGTTTTATAAAATCAAATATTCACAGAATTTTACTAAAAAAAAAAAAAAAAAAATGAACCTTGTAAACTCAGTAAAAATGCAAATACAAATAAATGAAACTTCACATAGTAAAAAATAAACAAGAAAAAAAAAAAAAAAAAAAAATTTCATTTCTATGTAGAGGTTTCTTAAAAAAAAAAAAAAAAAACTTCTGAAACTTACCCTTTTCCAAGTAAGAACGTGGAGCCCACGGCGGGTCCTCTTCAGCATAAGGATCACTAAAAAAAAAAAAAAAAAATTCCTCCTCTTCGTAATCTTCTGGGGGAAAAAAAAAAAAAAAAAACTCATCAAAGACTGGTTCTTCCACAGGAAAAAAAAAAAAAAAAAAATCTGAAACTAAGAACGTATCAGGCTGACAACAAAACTATACATTATGTGAAGTTCAGTATTTCCTATCCAAAAAAAAAAAAAAAAAAAATATAAACCTAGACTTGAAAATAAATATAAAAAAAAAAAAAAAAAAGAATGAGCAAGAGAAATCTTCCCACCAACTATAATGTTCTAGAGCTCCAAGTATGACGTTCCCCTTCTCTTGAAAAAAAAAAAAAAAAAATGGATACTGAATAAAGTTTAGACAAAATAATTACTAACTGAGCCTCTGGAACCTGTTTATACTAATACAAATCCTCTTGTTAAAGAGATCAGTACGGCCAGGAGCGGTGGCTCACGCCTGTAATCCCAGCACTTTGGGAGGCCGAGGTGGGCAGATCACCTGTGGTCAGAAGTTCGAGATCAGCCTGGGCAACATGGTGAAATCCTGTCTCTACTAAAAATACAAAAATTAGCCGCACATGGTCATGGGCGCCCATAATCCCAGCTACTCAGGAGGCCAAGGCACGAGAATCACTTGAAAAAAAAAAAAAAAAAATGCAGTGAGTCGAGATCACGCCACTCCAAAAAAAAAAAAAAAAAAAGACTGCGTCTCAAAAACAACAACAGCAAAAAAAAAAAAAAAAAATCAAAAAAGCGGGGGATCTGTACCAATCAGCTGAGCTTCTACAGCTGTATTTCAAGGATAATTTACTCAAATACTAATCAATGAAAACCATATTTCACAAATTTTTAAAATATTTTTTCACTTAAACATGAGTCCAGGGAATAGTAAAATTTTAGTACCCCTACTTTCTCTTAATGATTTCTAAATAGCATTTACAAAATTCAAGAGGAAAAATAATCATCAACAACTTGGGTTACTTCATCTATATGAAGATGTTTGTTTATAGATTATTTCTTCTAATTCAGACCATCATCCAGAATGTCTTCAGGCTAAAATGTCCAGGGTACCTAATCAGTAGTAATTAACAAATAATCTCCCATGGAGATCTGCCCTTCCCACAGCTTGCAGGTCCATAATACATAGTAACATCAAAAAAGGATTATCTTCAAACTACAAGCTACTTTAAAGCTCTTCAAAATGGGTGCGTACATACCCTGTGAGCACAAGCTTGACAGAAAGGAAATGAATAAACTGTGTTTATCACGGACTCCCCAGGTTTAATGAACGGCACTAATTCCTTATTTATGAGGTAACGAGTAATAGTTCCCATGTGATCTTATGCCATCCAATGTATTAGTAATTTTTTTAATCTAAGCCCTTCAATTGAATTAAATGATTTTTTTTTTTTTTTTTTCATTTTTTCTTCTTTTTTTTTTTTGGAGACGGAGTCTTGCTTGAAACCCAGGCTGGAGTGCAGTGGTCGCAACCTTTGCTCACTACAAGCTCCGCCTCCCGGGTTCACGCCATTCTCCTGCCTCAGCCTCCCAAGTAAGCTGGGACTACAGGTGCCCGCCCACCACGCGCCGGCTAATTTTTTTGTAATTTTTAGTACAGATTGAGGGTTTCACTGTGTTAGCCAGGATGGTCTCGTCTCCTGACCTCGTGATTCGCCCCACGTCAGCCTCCCCAAAATGGCTGGGATACACCAGGTGTGAGCCCCGTGCCTGGCGAAGTAAATGGATTTTCGAAAAGACTGCTGATGTGGTGGGGCAAGTCACATCAACACCATGCTGTCTCCCTACAAGTATTCTTCCCGTCTGCTGTGCCCCTCCTATACTGATTACTTTATGAACTTTAAAACTTCAGTCATTAAATAGAATGTCTTTCCATCCCAAATAGTTTTTATTAATAACAAAGGATATAGATATGTGAATACCATTAGTACTTTGGGGTGAGAAAGAGCAAGTTTATATCCCTATTTTCCCATTTGTAAGATAAAAGACTTTAAACAATTGCACCAGAACTATATGATCCAAAGGGAACTTTCAAAACAATAAACCTTGAGAAATGTCACTACAAAATTACTCAAAGATGTTGCCATTGGTCCCATTTTACTTTTCTTGTAACTGCCCAGTTTAAGTAAGCTAAAACCACTTTACAAATACACAGTATACATTACTCAGCTAGCTTGTTAATAACGACATTATTTCATATTCATCTTTACATTAACATTTTCATTAATTAAAATAAAGATTTTGGTGGAAACTGGCTTTCCAAAAGGATTAGTATTCCGACCAGCAAGTAAGTGAAAGCACAACAACACTGCTGGTTTTTCACTCTTGGCTGGGAAATAAAATCTTCAAGTCATGCTTCATTAGTTTTAACATACACACACACAACAACAACTAATATGGAGAACAAAGATATTATGCACAGCATTGAGAACACAGACATAGAGAACACAAAAAAGTCATGAAGACACAACACAACACAAACCCTTATAACACACACAATAACAAGCATAAATAACACAGATAACACACAGACACAACACACAAACCACCTTTTTATGTGGTGAGGAAAGGCTTCCTGAACACACAACAACAAGAGGAAGAGAAAGAGTTAATGGGGAGGAAGCGGGGAGAGCAGATGGTTAGGGATTGAATTTCATGTCAAGATATAAAGAATAAAACAGAGGCCAGGTGGGGAGGCTTCACGCCTGTAATCCCAGCACTGTTGGAGGCTGAGACAGGTGGATCAACTTGAGCTCGGAGTTCAAGACCAGCCTGGCCCAAAGGTATGGCGAAACCCCGTCTCTACTAAAAATACAAAAATGCCGCATGTGTGTGGCGCACCACGTGTAATCTTAGCTCTCGCGAGGCTGAAGGCACGAGAATCACTTGAACCCAAGAGGGGAAGGTGGCAGTGAGCCAAGACTCACAACCACTGTTAACTCCAGCTGGGTGACAGAGTGAGTCTGTCTCAAAAAAAAAAAAAAAAAAAGACAATACAAGTAGGAAGGTAAGAAAAGCAAGAAACTTTCAAAGAACTGTCCAAATCAGTAGCCAGAGGCATGAGGACGCTGAAGAGGGATGAGAAGGAAGGCCTTAACAGCAGTTGGACTCTATCCAAAGAGCCATGGGGAGCCACAGAAAGATTTTAAGGTGAATAACAGGGTCATAGCTGTACTTCTTACCCCAGTATAACTAGGTCACTATAACTGGTTTCAAATTATTCCAGACTTCTTCCAAACATTAAACTTAATGCACAGTATTTGCTACCACGGAATATCTTCGAAATAATATACCTGGAAAGCTTTGAAGATAATTACAAAGAATTATCTTTGAAGACATACCAAAAAAAAGTATATATCTTCCCAAGGTGAATGTTTTTTAAAGAGTTTAAAGACTTAAACACTATTTGAATGTTTAAGTCCTGCCACGTCTGTAAAATTAGTCACAGCACACCTCATACACAATTTTTTAATACATAGTGTACATGAGAAACGTATATGATTGTAGGAAGAGATGAAAAAGACTAATCTAAAAGGCAATCAACTGTGACAGGGTGGCCAAATTAGGGAATGACTTTTTAAAATATGGGTAGTGCTGCTGTAATAATGTTTTGCAGTCATCTACTTAAGACATTTCTAAGTCTTAAATTGATACTCATGCACTTTACTATTAAATTAAAACCATACTTCTTAGGTTTGGTTCATGAAACATTTTGCTGTTTCTACAAAGTTTGCAGCTTTCACTGGTGACTGGCGAAAACCAATGACATCCTGCTTTAAACCCTATTCAACTTTAGAGTCTCATTTTTTGCTAAGAAAATGACACTTAGGCCGGGCACGGTGGCTCAAGCCTGTAATCCCAGCACTTTGGGAGGCTTGAGATGGCGGATCACGAGGTCAGGGAGATCGAGACCATCCTGGCTAACACGGTGAAACCCATCTCTACTAAAAAAATACAAAAAAAAAAAAAAAAAAATTAGCCGGGCGTGGTGGTGGGCACCTGTAGTCCCAGCTACTCGGGAGGTGAGGCAGGAGAATTCCATTAAACCCGGGAGGAGGACTTGCAGTGAGCTGAGATCACGCCACTGCACTCCAGCCTGGGCGACAGAGCGAGACTCCATCTCAAAAAAAAAAAAAAAAGAAGAAAATTGACAACTTAGTTGGCCGTATACAAGCATTCCTGTTTCATTAATGGATTAGTCTTCAATGTCAGTTTCAAAATCTGGCCTTTACTCCAGAAGCTGCTCAGAACCACTTTCGTTCAGAATGAATGACAATATCTCACAGAACATGCAGTAGCAATTGATCGGGAGAATTCTCTAAGGTGCATGCTCATCACAATAGTAAAAACAGAAAAAACTCCCAGGGTATTATTCAAGTGACTACCTTCATTAATCATTGTAATTAAACAGGATTTGTGATGGAAGAAAATTCCCTTTTACTGTAATGACATTTACTTAGACTTTCCACTTTGTACGGAGTATGTAGAATGGAACCAGCATTGGAAAGTCCTTCAATTCCGGTACTGTAATCAAATCCTTTTCTACTTGGTACTTACCCTGTTTAGATGCAGCAGATATTTTTTAAAACCTGAGAACAGTGACCTTGTATCCCACACTTGACCTCACAAGCCTGGCAGAGGATCACACTATGGCTGTGCTTGGCACATGCTGAACTATTAATAGTTGAAACTTGCTGAGAGGCAGTTTTCTCCTCGAGCCAATGTGGGTCACACCCAAGCTAAAGAAGAGTGGGCCCCAATAGCATAATTTAAAACATATGAAATCTAACTAATTATATGTGAAAATAGCTCTTAAACTCAACAAAACATCTTACAAAGTCACAATGTGGTAAACATTACAGGTGTTCATGGAGTACCTTCCAATAAACAAAAGTAAGTAAAATAGACGATTTTCAGAAATTAGTAAATACAGATGCAAAGGCATCTGAAAGACACTGAGCCCTCAGGCCAGTAAGACTGAATTATTAGTTAAAATACAACCACATCTAGAAGAATGTGCTGATTAAAGGGGGGCATTGAGTCAGCTACAGCAGCAGAAAAAAGGGGCGACCAAAAGTGCCTGCTATGTGTCAGATGCTTTTCCAAGTGCTGGGGAAACAGCTAGCAAGCAAAACAGGCAAAAATCCTTGCTCTTATAGAGCTTACATTCTAGTATTGGCAGTGCCTATTTCCAAATAACCAGGAATCCTAAGCCACAGATTGCAAATTTTTCTATCCCACCAGTGAGGTCATCCATCCTTGTTATGAGATATATACACTGGACTACTTTGGTCTGATGACATGAGATCTTTAATATCATTCTCCTAGTTCAAATCATGTAACCTTATTATTGTGATGTAACCCTCACAAAGACTGCCCATAGGAAGAGGATTCGTCCATCGTACAGTCTATGTTCACTGGTGTCTGTGACAGCAATTCCTCACTGAATGTTGATACAGGCCTCCTGATTTATCATCGATCTCCTGAGCTCCAAAATGCTTCCCTAGAAGACTCAAGGTATCAACAAAATTAGTTACCTGAACAGGCCAAGGGAAATTCATTCCCAACCTATGAGGCCTCTTGGGAGACAGACTGGCAGCCTGGTCCTCTGAGCCCTACCAAAAATGGCCCTTCTGATATTTGAAATCACAAAACTGGAGGAAGATTCTCAGGCCACCTATAATAGCCCTAAAACTCCAGTGATAAGAAACTAGACTACCACTTATCTGAGCAACCCAGAGAAAAAGATGAGATATCTAGTGATTAAAGAATACCTCCTCAGTTGGAGGTGATCTTTCTTTTCTTATATGTGCCTTATTTTATATGTATTTGTCTTATATCTTTACTACTAGTTATTTAAAAGTAGAAAATTTCTCTATTTTATCTCCACTAGCCAGATAGTGACTTGTTCATAATACTGAAATGTCTGAAGTATCAGCAAATGAATGACTATCCAGTCAATCACATATAAATGACATTTTATGCCTATAATCTGATCTACAGCATAAAGAAGACATAAACTTACTATTTTCTTGGACTCTGGCCACAAATCCCATTAAAGGTAACTGAGGAGTTACCTGTAGGATGGAGGGAGGAGGAGGAGCAAGAGATACTGCAAAAACAAAAAAGGTGTGGAGGATAAGGGATAAGGGCGAGTTACATTAAAAGGAAAGGATAATACAATAAAATAAATACATAAAGGAGGGAAACTACCATTCACAAACATTTTATCAGTGATCTCAAGGATCCCCTGTTGAGGGACAACTCATTAACACATAAAACAAAGTACTGGAGGAATTTTTAGTAAGTTTTTGAAAATCACAACAGGAAGCATTTAGCATACAGAGATATGTTAAATATATATAACATAATCATATGTTTTATATATATATAACATATAACTGATCTTTTTTCATTTCATAACATCATGCCTTCTCAATGAAAGCATTTCTGCAGATTACCATGATGTTGTTTTCTGAATTTTACATTTAAATGTTTGTCAATACAGAGAGAAAAAATATTACATCCCAACACTCTAAATGTATACTTTTTGTTACTCTAATAATAGGCAAGTTAATTGGTTCTTCACTCATTAATTAGACAAATACTGACTTCCTACTAAGTAAGTGGCAAACACCTGCTATGAAAACAGTTATCAAAACCATCCTCTGAGAATCGGGTGCTATGTCATTACAATTTTTCATAATCCGAACTCATTGGTACATTTCCTCCCTGATGGTGTAGAAAAGTGCAGGCCTTAATCAAATCATTCCACTCTCCTTCCCAAGGTAGATTTCCCAACTCAATCACCTGGCACAGTGCCTAGAGCTAGTAAACTGTCAACAAATGTTTAACATATATAAATGCACTAATAAGCCAGGTATCTGTGGAAACTAAAGAGGCAAAAACAAAAAAAAGAAAGATTACAGTTACAGTTTCCTTTAGAATGGGTACGAAGTATGATATGCATTTTCTTATAAAGAGAAAATGACTGTATTTGCTCCAAAATATAGTTAAGACTAATAAAACTAAAAAGATGAACACGTCTCCGCTCTAAGGAGATCACATTCTATTGAAATAGAAGAATACATGATAATCTTAACCCAACAATATTTGTAGCAATTCCCCGGAAGTAGTGGTGGAGGTGAGGAGGGCTACAATGAAATGACCTCTCAACAGGGACTTGAAGAAAGGAACCCGCCAAGCTGACAGGGGTTGAGAAAGATAATCAAGTTGAGAGAACCAAGTGAGGGTGAAGGCTCAGAGGCATAAAACAGCATAACCAGTTCACAGGACCAGAAATGCTTCCATATGGCTAGGAAAAGATACCCAAAGATAAAGTAAAAAACCCAGAAATATCAATGGGAGGATATGAAATAGGGAAGGATCTTATATGCCTGGTGGAAGAGTGCTTAGTGGAAACAGGTTGGATTTTCAAGTCACTCAGCCTCAAATCTCTGATCCATCATTTCCTGGCTGTATGGATAGTCAGTCAATTAACTTCTTCAGGCCTATTCCATAAATGTGATACGAAAACAAGGTAAAGCAACCTACTTCACATAGTGGCTGCAAAGACTAAAAAAAGACAATGGATGTGGAAAGCCTAACCCAGTGGCTGGCACATAATAAATTAAAGCAGTTTCTAGAAAAGGAGAGAACTTTAAAAGTGTGGGAAGAGAGTACTTGGCAACTAATGATTTAGCTAGCATATCAAGGACAGCAACAAGTTGAAGATCATTCTTAGATTTTTACCCTTCGTAACTATGAAGATGGAGATGTCATTAACTATGTTAAGCCTGGTAGGCAGTACTGGGAAAGAAATGGGATGGTAAACGGGTAAGTCAGGGACAGATAATGATTTGATACATTTGGGTTGAGATTATGCAAAATATCTAGAGTTGATGCTATGGACAGATGCAGGGAGGACATACAAATGCACAGACAAGAATTAAGCAGATAATCCTGAATATCTAGATGCAAAGAACAGAGTAGTATAACTCTAGAAATTGGTACCTTTCTTTAAAAGACACCTTTGGTTAGGTTTTTCCCTAAAGTCATAATTCTTGGCAGTAAATCCTTGATTTGTGTGTCTGCTTCCCACTCAGAGGCTTACAACAACTGTTGATATGTTCATAATACCACTTCCAAGGGTAAGCAGAAGACAATGAAAAGAGAAGGTAGCCCAGACAAAAAAGATAAAACTGAGGAACAGTAGCAGGCAGCAACTGGCACTAGAAGAGTAGAGACAAGGCATGTGTTCACATCCAAGATGAAATGCTCCTTTTCTGTTGGAATATATTCTAACCTTCCGTGTAACAGAAAAGTGGGAAATTTCCCACTTCAGTCACTGTTTCTCTACCAAATATAAAAAAAGACCTTTTGGTACTCAGCTAAAAAAGAACAATTAGGTGCTTAACCTACAGCAGTCTTTTTGTGGGTAGACTGAGGTTGAGGTTGTTTTTTTTAAGATGAATATGCTTATTTCTTTTCTACTTCTGAAAGTGAAAATCTGAAGCCATAGTGGTTTTAAGAAGTACACCAGCGGCCAGGCACGCTGGCTCATGCCTGTAATCCCATCACTTTGGAAGGTCGAGGGGGGTGCATCACCTGAGGTCAGGAGTTCAAGACCAGCTTGGCCAACATGGTGAAATCCCATCTCTACTAAAAATACACAAATTAGCCAGGCATGGTGGCAGGTGCCTGTAATCCCAGCTACTCGGGAGGCTGAGCCAGGAGAATCACTTGAACCCGGGAGGCAGAGGTTGCAGTGAGCTGAGATCACACCATTGCACTCCAGCCTGGGCAACAAGAGCGAAACTCCATCTCAAAAAAAAGAAGTCCACCAGCAGCCAGGGAAAGATCAATCGCAGTTCTTCCTTAAAAGAATGACTTGGTAACAAGTTAGACTTTTTTCAAAGCTAGTCTAAGGCATGTTCAAAAATTCAGTTCCGTCTGGGGTTACAAAGGTCATCCCAAATTCTACTTTTCTCCAGCACAAACCTTTAACAAGATGGCCCAAATTAATTCAGATACCACATCATTTTATTGTTGGACCATGTAAGATCTCATCTGACAAGAATGTCTGTGAGCCAGAATATACTGTCTTTCTTGGAGTTGAGCTGAAACCAAACCATTTTTAAGTGAATTTAAGCTGAATTCTGAGCAAAGAATTGTTGCAATATTCAGTTCTAATCCTAGTCATTTTGTGAACAGGCAAACAAGAGCAGGAAGCAAACTTGTTTTCATTTCATTTAGCTAAAATGATTCCTCATAAGACAAGACTCTCCCAATAACCACCAAAAGATCTCCAAACTTAGATTCTGTTACATAATTTTCACAATATACAAGAATGAAGTTAATGTGAAGACAGGCTCACCATGTGACTGGAATTTATAAAGAGATCATAAGTAGAAGAGCTATGAGAATTACAGCTGTGTGCACAAAGCAACGTTTAGATATAAACAGTAAAAGGCTTTCCAAGCAAACCAAACCTAAATGATGAGTCTGTGCTGATGAAATGTACAGACTTTCCAAGTACAACCTTCCTGGTTATTTATAGAGTTCTTTGAAGCATCACTGAAGCTTGTATTTTAAATGTCCAATTTAAAAAGTTTGGAAAAATAAAATTAAGTTTTTACATCTTATTTTTACAGCTTTATACTCTGAGAATATTAGACAAAATAAGCACTCTAAACACTACTTCTAAAGCCATTACTGAACATCACATTTAGATGATATATGTATGTATGTTATATAGCCCATGCGAGTTTAGATGCTTATATTTTTTTCCCAGTGAAGGAAATAAACAATTTGTAAGTGTAGTATTTTCTAAACATGAATACCAATGTAGAACAAGAGGTAGGTAAAAGTGAATTCAGGCTGGACGCGATGGCTCACACCTGTAATCCCAGCACTTTGGGAGGCCAAGGCAGTAACAAAATGACTAGGATTAGAACTGAATATTGCGACAATTCTTTGCTAAAAATTCTGCTTAAATTCTCTTAGAATGGTTTGTTTTCTGCTCAACTCCAAGAAAGACAGTATATTCTGGCTCACAGACATTCTAGTCAGATGAGATCTTACATGGTCCAAAAAGAAAATGATGTGATATCTGAATTAATTTGGACCACCTTGTTAAAGGTTTGCCTTGGAGAAAAGTAGAATTTGGGATGACCTTCGTAACCCCAGATGGAAGTGGATCACTTGAGGTCAGGAGTCAGAGACCAGCCTGGCCAACCTGATGAAACCTTGTCTCTATTTAAAAAAAAAAAAGAGAGAGAGAGGGGCGTGGTGGCATGCACCTGTAGTTCCAGCTACTTGGGAAGCTGAGGCAGGAGAATCGCTTGAACCCAGGAGGTGGAGGTTGCAGTGAGCCGAGATTGCGCCACTGCACTCCAGCCTGGGCAACAAACAAAGCAAGACTTTGGGGGGGAAAAAAAATCTTCCTGCTCCTGCTCTTTATTTATACTTTGCTAAAGCCCCATCACATCAGTATTCTTCTAGACATTTTAGACATTTATGGTGGTGCTGTAACTTCACAAATCATTTACAGAATATGTGAAATGGCTTTTATTTTGCAATAGCACTATCCCAACATTGTTTTCTACTTTTTTAGTCGCTTTTAATACCATTCAGGGGTTATTAAGCCTGACACTTTCTCTTTGTGAAACAGCACACCCATTCAGGAACTCCTATATCTCATAGAACTATACATCTCTTGGAACCAACATTCACTTTATGAACTTTTTTCCAAAAACTTTTAAGAAATTATGAGCAGTAAAATACATGCTACTTTCTCCTAAAGCCTTTAATATTTACATGCTACATTACTGATTCATTAACAAACAAGGTTTATGTAAGTATACATATACATACTCACATATGGATATATGTATATTCTTCTTGACCACAAGGTGCTTCATATTTACATTTAAAGTAGAGACTGTTAACTCATAATTAGCCCTATGTGTTTCTATGACCCCCCCCTTACCACTGGCAACATGAATGATAAATTGGTATTCCTATTTCATTGGCTGGATTAGATTAAGAAATAATGAGAACCAAAGGGATTTCAGTTATGCCCTGATCAAAGGGTTCCTTTCAATAACTTGTTTCTGAAATAATCTCATGAAAAAACAATTATTGTGCTCCTAAGACTTGGCACTAGACACTGGGTGTTACATATTTTAACTCCTATAATTGCCCTTTTTCAAACTCAGATCAAATTGTACATTAACAAATATAGTAATAACACTGCTAGATGTACACCTCACAGAACCCCACTGAATTTATATTCACATGACACCCTCCAGATTGTCAGCTCACTTCCTGAGAAGCATGCAACCACAGCGAGACTCCAATTACCAAAAAAAAAGAAAAAAAACCTCATAAAACACACACTTCAGATCATTTTTGTTAAATCAGAGTATTAGTTACTTGAGAAAGCACAACAAATATTCTCATTGTAAATATGAAAAAAATAGGCATGGGCAAAGACTTCATGTCTAAAACAGCAAAAGCCAAAATTGACAAATGGGATCTAATTAAACTAAAGAGCTTCTGCACATCAAAAGAAACTACCATCAGAGTGAACAGGCAACCTACAGAATGGGAGAAAATTTTTGCAATCTACTCATCTGACAAAGGGCTAATATCCAGAACCTACAAAGAACTCAAACAAATTTACAAGAAAAAAACAAACAACCCCATCAAAAAGTGGGCAAAGGATATGAACAGACATTTCTCAAAAGAAGACATTCATACAGCCAACAGACACATGAAAAAATGTTCATCATCACTGGCCATCAGAGAAATGCAAATCAAAACCACAATGAGATACCATCTCACACCAGTTAGAATGGCGATCATTAAAAAGTCAGGAAACAACAGGTGCTGGAGAGGATGTGGAGAAATAGGAACACTTTTACACTGTTGGTGGGATTGTAAACTAGTTCAACCATTATGGAAAACAGTATGGCGATTCCTCAAGGATCTAGAAGTAGATGTACCATATGACCCAGCCATCCTATTACTGGGTATATACCCAAAGGATTATAAATTATGCTGCTATAAAGACACATGCACACGTATGTTTATTGCAGCACTATTCACAATAGCAAAGACTTGGAATCAACCCAAATGTCCATCAGTGACAGATTGGATTAAGAAAATGTGGCACATATACACCATGGAATACTATGCAGCCATAAAAAAGGATGAGTTTGTGTCCTTTGTAGAGACATGGATGCAGCTGGAAACCATCATTCTTAGCAAACTATCACAAGAACAGAAAACCAAACACCGCATGTTCTCACTCATAGGTGGGAACTGAACAATGAGATCACTTGGACTCGGGAAGGGGAACATCACACACCGGGGCCTATCATGGGGAGGGGGGAGGGGGGAGGGACTGCGTTGGGAGTTATACCTGATGTAAATGACGAGTTGATGGGTGCAGCACAGCAACATGGCACAAGTATACATATGTAACAAACCTGCACGTTATGCACTTGTACCCTACAACTTAAAGTATAATAATAATAAATAAATTTAAAAAAAAAAAAATAGGGACAATTGCAGGGCCAGTGGGAGTAATACAGAAGACTTACATAATTCTTTTTTGAGATAGGGTCTCACTCTGTTGCCCAGGCTGGAGTACAGTGGCACAACCTTGGCTCACTGAAACTTCCACCTCCTAGCTCAATCAATCCTTCTGCCTCAGCCTCCTGAGTAGCTGGGACTGCAGGCACCTGCCACAGCGCTTGACTCATAAATAATATTCTAATGAATATAAAATAAAAGTACATCCAACAGCCTTAGAACACTAATTCACAAATCATTAAGTCTTGCAAAAAGAGATCTTCCAAGAAAATGGTTTAGTTAGAAAAAAAAACTAGTTTAGAAAAAGTACTCTGATTAACCAACTAACAATGCTGTGGCCACCCACTTTAAACAGTTATCAAATCCCTGGAGATGAAAGGCAGAACTTAATAGAGCAGAGTACAGAAAAACAAAAAAGTGCAACTAAATTGACTCACACATTACACAGAAAGCCTAACAATCCCAATTCACCTTACTTCCATGAGTGAGAAAAATACTTTTCCTTAAAATCATTTCATAAAGTGGGAATATTTTTACTTTAACATATACTTTCAAGCATTTGAAAATCAGATTTACAAAGAAACTATTGAAATATGTATTATAAAATACATTTAAATATGTGCCTAAACAGCCTTCAAATAAATTCTACCTACAGCGTTCTCATAGGACTATTTTGGAGCATACACGAACAAAGCATGAAATATCCCTGTATAGGCTGGGTGCGGTGGCTCAAGCCTGTAATTCCAGCACCCTGGGAGGCCGAGACAAGCGGATGACTTGAGGTCAGGAGTTTGAGACCAGCTTGGCCAAGATGGTGAAACCCCGTCTCTACTAAAAATACAAAAATTAGCTGGGCATGGTGGCAGGCGCCTGTAATCCCTGCTACTTGGGAGGCTGAGGCAGGATAATTGCTTGAACCCGGGAGGTAGAGTTTGCAGTGAGCCGAGATTGTACCACTGCACTCCAGCCTGGGTGACAAAGCAAGACTCAGTCTCAAAACAAAACAAAACAAAACAAAAATTAGCCAGGCGTGGTGGCAGGTACCTGTAATCCCAGCTACTCAGGAGGCTGAGGCAGGAGAAACGCTTGAACCGGGAAGGTGAGGTTGCAGTGAGCCAAGATTGTGCCACTGCACTCTAGCCTGGGCAACAGAGCGCAACTCCATTTAAAAAAAAAAAAAGAAAAGAAAAGAAAAAAGAAATATCCCTGTATATACTTACTATATATCATGTATAGTTCGTCTCAAGCTCTAACAGTGAAGCATCTCTCAGTTCCATAATGGAACCAACCCATTTCGGACTAACATCTGAGAGGGCCAAGGAGACAGCCCAGCTTCAGCAGAACTATGAAACAGGCTATAACTAAAATTTAAAATTTTTATAAACTAAAATTTAAAAATAAAAAATGCATTTAAATACAAAACAGCACCTGAACAAATGTAAATCTGAAAACATGGTTTAAAAGAAGAATGTATAAAAAGGGCAGTTTTGTCAAAATTTAAGTTCGGAATGATTTAAAAAGAACTGCACAGCCAAAAACACAAAATGTGATAAAAGACAGAAGTATGTATCAATTAAGGCAGTTGGTATTCACACTATGGTTTGCACTGGATGGACTACAAATACAGCATTTAACTTACAAGAGGGACCCAGAACAGAGAAGGAATTTGGATAAATGAACAAGGGATTCATTTGGCATTTAACAAACAGTTCCTGAGCAGTATTCCAGGATGTAACTGTTTAAAAGACTGACAAGGTCTCAGGCTTTCATGCACTTTATATCACATCCTTTCATCCGCCTTCCTCTCCACAAAAGAGAAGACTTGGGAGGGTAAGAAAAGATTTTTTTTAATATGTAGGTAGGACAATAGAAAGAACATGGAACTCAGGCCAGGCACGGTGACTCACGCCTGTAATCCCAGCACTCTAGGAGGCTGAGGTGGGTGGATCATTTAAGGTCAGGAGTTTGAGACCAGCCTGGCCAACATAGTGAAACCCCATCTCTACAACAAAATACAAAAATTAGCTGGGTGTGGTGGTGGGTGCCTGTAATCCCAGCTACTCAGGAGCCTGAGGCAGGAGAATCACTTGAACCCAGGAGGCGGGCGTTGCAGTGATCAGAGATCACGCCACTGCACTCCATCCTGGGCAACAGAGCGAGACTCCATCTCAATTTAAAAAAAAAAAAAATTAAAGAACAGAAAGAAAGAACATGGAACTTAGAAAACCTAAGTTCAAATTCTAACCTGACCATCACCTCAGCCTCATTTTTCTCACCTATAAGATATAGGAAAATGATCACCAATCTTATTTTGTACATGATTCTAAGAATCAAATGAGATAATATGAAAACATTAGTTAAATTAAGTGTTTATGCTGAAGGATCAAATTTCTTCTGCAAGACTCTTACAAAGAATATCACTATAGATCCCAGCCACAGAGACAAACTGCAGCTCCATAAAATTCAAGGCTTATCAAAGATGGAATGAGTTGAACCCAGTATCAGAGGTGTTCACACATAGGCTTACTGGCTTCTTGGCAAAAATACAGAAAAACACAGTAAGTTGACATACCATGTCCACAATAGTCATGGTGTCTAATATTTGTTCTTGCCCTCTCTGGGGAGTAAACAAAATAATAATTATGTATAGCATTAAATATGTTCCAGATTAGTTATTCCGTATGCATGATACAACCGATTATTCAGTGTAATTATTGTATCTGATTCAATTTACCCAACTCCTAGTTTTTCCACCATGGGTTTGGTATGAGAATTGTACAAGCTAATATAATTCCCTAGCACAAAACAGCTTCAAAAATGTTCTCTTTTCCTTTGTTACTTCTATATTCTGTTCATGTGCACCCAACTTTCATTATTTGTTATTTATAGAGTAAGGATGTCTGATGAAATAAAAAGGAAATACCATTCACCACAATGTTATTTTAAAAAGCAAATAACCACTAAAATATTCAAAAAAATTCTGCTCAGAAAAATTAAGTTCTATGACTTTACCTGGAAATCACGTACTGATTTTTTTTAAGAATTGAAAGATACAGTATTAGCAACCTACAATTCATTCATTCTCCCATTCATTCAACAAATGGTACTAACCACTACCATGCACTATTTGTAACTAAGGGTTTTTTGTAGTTGAAAGTTTTTAATTAGATACATTCTATAGAATGCAAAAAAAAAAAATCTAACCTGGATTCTGGCTATAAAAAGGTCCTCCATTCATCTGATTCTGAAGGCTTGTTTGTGAAGTGATGGAAGGAGGGCGTCTATAGGGCAACGAGCCCCCTATTGTTGGGGGAGTATGGCGAGAGGCAGGCCTATTCATGCTGTAAAACTGTACAGGATGACCTGAAAAAGAGATAGAACATACATATGTCATTAAAAGAAAATTATCTCAGATCATTAAATACTTTATGTACAATGCCTAAATCTTAATAATTAAAAACAGCTAGTTTAACTAGTATCTGAAATACACAATGCAAGGTGAGTTATTGTTTGCTGATATTGTATTACAGTACAAAAGCAGAAAAGCAAACAAAACTATGATTAAGTTTGGAAAGCTGTATCTAAATAGTTTACTAATTAGGGCTGGTGCAGTGGTTCATGCCTGTAATCCCAGCACTTTGGGAGGCCAAGGCAGGCAGATCATTTGAGGTCAGGAGTTTCAGACCAGACTGACCAACATAGTGAAACCCCGATTCAACTAAAAATACAAAAATTAGCCAGGCATGGTGGCATGTGCCTGTAATTCCAGCTACTCGGGAGGCTGAGGCATGAGAATCACTTGAACTCAGGAGGCGGAAGTTGCAGTGAGCCAAGACTGCACCAATGCACTCCAACCTGGCTGATACAGTGAGACTCTTGTCTCAAAATAAACAAACAGTTTGCTAATTAACACTATTATTTCACTAAATTAAAAATCTGATGGGGTTTCAAAATCATCACAATTAATTAAAATTTATCTACTCCACCCCCAAAATATAGTCACTAAACACTGAAAACTAAAATCAACAAGAATGACGTTTGGGAAAGCAAGAGAAAAAAATGTTTGACACACAGTCTTATTCCAAAATAATAAATAATAAAAAACGTAAGGTAGCAAAAAAGTTTGTTTAAAGGAAAATAAAGTATTTCAACAAAAGGTTAAATGACATGATTCCAAATCAAACACTTCTTTCATTTAATCAAAAAATCTACCATGAAAGCTACATTATTTTGTCTTAAAATTAAAATCTAAAAAATTTACAATCATGAAAAAAATTAAGATATAAAAACAGGGTCAAAATATATCTTATTTTTAATACCATCCCTAAGTCCATACACAGTTATCATCAATTTCACTGTATTTTGCTCTCTTGAGAGTTCTTCCACAGCTAATGTCAACTGCAGACATGATTCCATAATCCATCAATTTCCTAATAATATAATCCACTCCCTAAACTTTACCTTGACTTCACTCCCACCTACATTAAGCTGAAAACTTTTTCTTACAGACAGAGCACTACAGCACCCATGAGAGAGTACACCAGCGGACAAGAGAGAAGGAGAGGGCAAGAGAGAAGAGGAGGGGGATAAATAAGTAGGTGGAGAAGAAAGCAGAAAGGGGATGGGAAGCTAGAGGAGGAGAAGATGAAGGTGGAGGAGGGCAAAAGGATAGAGGAGGGGAAAGGAAAGGAGAAAGAGAAAGGGAGAAAGAGAGGAGATAAGTGAAGAAGAAGAAAAAAAACACTTTTGCTAAACCCAACAGGAAGCCAGGAGGCAAAAGAATCCATTGAAGCATTTCCTGGAGGTCAGCCTACTGGAGAAAAGGGGAGAGTAGAGGAGGGGGCACTGGGGGAACAGATGATATCTGGCATATTCATCTAACCATTTGTGCCTAAGGTTATCCTGAAATTTTTTTAATTCTAAAATAAACTACTTGAAACACAGTGAGATTAAGACTTATGTAATGTATAATTTGATGAATGCTTGATTTGTTCAATTCTTCATGATCAAACACTGCAGTCATATCCTCTTCCAGGCTTCATATATCTCAGACGAATCTTACCACCTGTATTCTACTTTAATATGAGACTATCTTCTTGGTAATTTTAAAGTAATAGAGGAAAAAAACACTTTGACAATTTTTCATCTTGTCTATTATTATGAAATGGCTTTACATGACTAAAATTGCTCTATAGGAACTGTAAGTTTATCAAGCTTAGATTCATATGGAGTCATATAGATTATAAGAGCACTCAAGGCTTGTTATAACATTTAATCATCTTACATGTGTCTCAAAAACCTAAAACTCAATTGTGTTGTATAAAATCTTAAGCACTCAAGCTTAAACATAATCCGCTATCAATTGAGAAGCCTCTGTAACCATGATAAACATGAAAACGTACAAACGATTTAAAAGGCATAGTTATTTGAACCACTGAATACAATTATTAGCATTTCAGTAATTAATCTATAACAAACTAATACAAACCTAGGATCAAGTTAAAAACATCTGGATTAACATCATTATGAATTTTATATAGTTAGATCTAGTCTAAAACCTCACATGGGCTGGGCATGGTGGCTCAGGCCTTTAATCCCAGCACTATGGGAGGTGGAGGCGGGTGGATCACTTCAGATCAGGAGTTCAAGACCAGCCTGACCAACATGATGAAACCTTGTCTCCATTAAAAGTACAAAAAATTAGCTGGGTATGGTGGCTCACGCTTGTAATCCTAGCTCCTCAGGAGGCTAAGGCAGGAGAATCGCTTGAGTCCAGGCAACAGAGGTTACAGTGAGCCGAGATCACCACAGTACTCCAGCCTGGGCTGTCTGTCTCAAAAAAAAAAAGACACTATTCACATTATTAATGACAGATTTACTATTTGGGATTTTAAAAATATATATACCTAATTATCATAAACCTAACGATAAAACCTGAAACTAAAAACTTCTAGAAGAAAACACAGAACAAAATCTTTATGACTTCAGGTAAAGAGTTCTTAGATACGCCACCAAAGCACAATTCATTAAAAAAAAAAAAAAAAATGAAAAACAACACTTAGTAAAAATGAAGAATTTCTGCTATTTGAAATACATTAAAAAAATAAATGAACAGGCTGGACCCAGTGGCTCACGCCTGTAATCCCAGCACTTTGGGAGGCCGAGGCAAGCGGATCACCTGAAGTCAGGAGTTCAAGACCAATTTGGCCAACATGGTGAAACCCCGTCCCTACTAAAAATACAAAAATTAACTGGGCATGGTGGCAGGCACCTGTAATCCCAGCTACTTGGGAGGCTGGGCAGGAGAGTCGCTTGAACCTGCAAGGTGGAGGCTGCGGTGAGCCGAGATCACACCACTGCACTCCAGCCTGGATGCCAAGAGTGAAACTTTGTCCTCCTGCCGCCCCCACCCCCGCTCCCGCCAAAAAAAATAGAAAATAAGCAAACGAATCACAAAATGGAAGAAAATATTTGTAACTCATAATCTATAAAGGACATATATTTAGAAAGTAAAAGAACTCAATGATAAGAAAAAAAACCCTATTAAAAAGATGAGAAGGAGCAAAACATTTGAACAGATATTTCACCAAAGACGATATACACATGGCAAATAAGCACATGAAAAAAATGGTCAATATCATTAGTCATTATACAGCCATTTTGGAAAACAACTTGGCAGTTTCTTATAAAGTTAAAAATTTACTTATAACCCAGCAATTCTATTCCCTAGGTATTTACCTGAATGAAATAAAAACTCAAGTGCACAAAAAAACCCGTATGTACATGTTTACGGCAACTTTATTCATAAGCACTCAAAACTGGAAAAATCTAAATGTCCTCTGAGAAAGGGATAAACAAATTGTGGTACATCCCCATACAATACAACACTACTAAGCAATAAAATGTAATGAAATACTTAAACATGCAACAACATGGGTAATTCTCAAATGCATCTGGCCAAAAAAACAGATCAAAAAAGCTACATACCATATGCTTTCATTTATGTGTTATTCTTAAAAAGGCACAACTTTAGAGACAAAAAACACATCAACGGCTTACCAGGAGCTGGGAGTGGAGGGGAAGGATTGACTATAAAAAGGGGGCATGGAGGAAATTTTTGTGATGATAGGACTGTTCTATATCTTGATTGTGGTGGCAACTACGTGTCAGTACACCTTTGTCAAAACTCACAAACATACGTGGTATACAGGGTGAATTTTACTGTACATAAGTTACCCCTTAGTAAAAAGAAAAAAAATTGCTTGGTAACTCAGATACTGTATAAAAGAGACTACCCTGATATAAATTATTAAAAGGCATTTACCTTGCTTTTTGTTTCAAAAACTACAGTTAATTATCCCCTCACACAACAAACGTTTATTTCGTGAACAGTGAGCCAGGCACCTGTTACTCAACTAATATTTAATTACTAAAACATAGACTCTCAGTTGGGGGTGATTTGTCCTTTCCGATGCATTCTTTATCAAAGCCGGAGCACAAGGAGATTCCTATATTTAACTAGTTAGTTTGGCCTAACAGTTGTATCTGTATCAAAAAACAGCCCATGTTTACATTTATCTACTGCAGAAAGCTTTTCTTTAAAAGTCATATAGAAGGAATCCCATAAGACACCATCCAAAATCCACTTTGGCTAAAAGTGTCTTTTAAAACATGTAAAGATCTTATATATGTTTAACATGTATAACAGCAAAGCTGAATGTAAATGCTATGAAGCTCTTTACTGGCAAGTGGAACACTACAGTGATTGATATGCTTTGAATCTGTGTCCCTGCCCAAATCTCATGTTGAACTGTAATCCCCAATGTTGGAGGTGAGGCTTGCGGGGAGGTGACTGGATCAGAAGGGTGGTTTCTCATGGTTTAGCACCATCCCCCTTGGAGCTGTTCTTGCAATAATGAGATCTGGTTGTTTAAATGTGTAGCACCTCCCCCTTTGTCCTCTTGCTCCTACTCTGGCCATGTGACCAGTGTGCTTCCCCTCTGCTTCAGGCCATGAGTGTAAGTTTCCTGAGGCCTCCTCAGAAGCCGAGCAGATGCCAGTATCATGCTTCCTGTACAACCTGAAGAACCGTTAGCCAATTAAACCTCTTTTCTGCATAAATTACCCAGTCTCAGGTATTTATAGCATTGTGAGAACAGACTATTACAGTGATATATGTCCAAACACATATATTTTATAGCAGATAAGAACCTGTTTACTAGCCAGCATCATTAACTGTACAAATACATTTTGTAGCAATTGAGTCTATCTCCTCCCCAATCAAAACAGATTTTAGATTGCAATTTTAAAACACTAGCCAACTTAAATAAACCTGAAATTCTTTACAAGTACATTGTCTATGAGTTTCCAATGCTGCTATAATAAGCAACAGATTCTGTTAAAAACAGACTTACAGAGGCTTTCCATTTGTTGTATCAAATATTTCCTATAAAATATACCTTAGAATTATTGTAATAGACTTTTGTTAATCATTTAACCTGTAATAAAAATATTTCTAATGACAATTTCCAAAAACTGTACATAAGGTAGCTCCATATTAACTTAAAAATCTCTAATAAATGAAATTCAAGCAATAAAAGAACATAAATTTATGCTACCCTATTGGAAAAATGTATGAAAAACTTTACCTCAATTTTCTCAGGAAATGCTAATCTCTGGTCACAGACTTTCTTAGTACATTATTCTTATTTTTTTTAATACAAAGTACAATCAAACCAAAAACAAAAAAAAAATCAAAGGTGCAAGTAAGAGAATAGCCAGATGACTGGATCTTCCTGCCAATTAATAAGCAAATACTTACCTGTAGGGGGAGTGGAAGAAACAACAGGGGGAGTTGGAGAAGTGAAGCCATCAGCAAGGGTCTGGGCACCCCCAGCAGCAGCGTCTGGGGCAGTGGAGGAAGGGACAGTAGCAGGAACAAGAGGGGCAGGGGCAGATGCAGAAGTAGCAGGAAGGGGAGGAGTGCCAGCAGAGCCAGCAGGGGCTGAGGGGAAAGAGGAGTAAGAGGCAGCATTAATGAGGCAATCATATGAGGCAGGATTAGAAAAGGTATTAGAGTATTTAATGTTAGCTATTCAGTGCTTAACACTAACCAAAAGAATAGAGTTGAAAAAAAGAATAAAACTTATGTTAAAGGATGTCTATATAAGCAGCAAATAATTCAAGACACTCAGGGTAACGTATAGATTTTTTCAATTCATTAAAAACAAACATTCCTTTTTATTTGAAAGCACTACTCCAGAAGAAAAGTGTTCCCTTCATATTGTTATTTTTAGCATAACATTCCGTATATAGTATACAAAACTAACATAATACACTAAAAAGCAACAGTTTTCCATTTTGAATTAGACAAATCAGAAAACAGACATATTCCAGATATCAGGCAAAAAAAAAGAGAGAGTTTTTTTAAAACACAAATCTTTACGATTTTTAAAAGGCATTATCTACTTGTTACTATAAGTAATTAAGTATGTAACATTCTATTAATGTATTTTGTGTCATGTTTTTAAAACTAAGTTTTAAGTGTGTATCTCCTCGAATCAAATAAGCAACTTTTCGGTTTCAAAGAGGGTAGCATTTTCAGAGACTACTAAATTCCAATACATCCACTAAATTTAACTGTCAAAACTACTTTTCATTATCTGCCCAATCTTCTGTTACTAATATGATTCTCACACTTAGTTCCCACTGCGTCCGAAGACTGCACTGTCATAACACTAGCTGGAATTAAACTTGTAACTCATAACAAAGTGTGATCTGAAACCTCAAAGCAGCAACTGAGCCACATCACCAAAGGCATAAAGAGAAGTGCAAACTGAGCAAACACTTACAAATCACTAGATTACAAATAACAAATATATAAAGACTTCCCAATATTTATGATTCCTAAAGAAAAAAAAATCCTGATTATGAAGAAAGCCCACCATAATTAAATCACAAATTGAATCAAATTCAGAAAGGAAAAGTGAAGATGAGGCACCATGAATGTTTTACCTGGAAAGACACTGGGAGGAGATGGAGTAGGAACAGCAATAGGAACCCCCACACTACCACTTCCACTGTTCTCTCGACTGCTGCTCCGACTACTTGGGTGGCTCCCTCCACTACTCCCACTGCTGCTAAAGAAATAAGAGCCACCAAAACATGAGTATTTATAAACAGTAAGAGATCATCAGCACTTCCCAACATTTTCTGAGATGAATGTAGCTACAATAAAGGTAATTCAAAAGCGTTCCACTTCAAAAAAAAATTTCCTTGAGCTCCAAGTCAGTGACAGGTTAAAAAAAATGTGTGTGTGTGTGTGTGTGTGTGTGTGTATTTTTCTTAATAAAGTTGAGGGAAAAACTGAGTTCAATAAGCTTGTTTTGACATTTTGAAAAAATTATCCAGAAATATAAGTGATAAATGTTGAGGTTTAACACATTAAAACAATACTGCCTTTTTATATTCCAGTTTAATGCCTATCTGAAGAAACTTCTTTTATAATAAAAACATTTTCCTAAACAGATTTGAGTAATTTTAATTCACAATCATACTTTGATGTACTATCCCATATTAATGTTTTATTATGTATAGTTTTTCATCTGTAAAGTTCCACCAAAAAACAACCTGACATTTCCCACATTTGGTCCATATTTTTTTTTCCAGATCAACTAAACTCTTAAAACTTGGAGAGAAGTCTGCACTTCGAGATGTCTGCTCTTTATCAACTTCCTGACTGCTCAAAGTTGCATCAGAACATGAGGAGAGAGAGGTGAAATCAGATGAGGTTTGGGAGAGGAGAGTGAGGAAAAGAACTTAGTGCTTGGAAAATGAGAGGTTTACCTGAAGTAATCTGAACAGATTATGGTACTATGACCATCACATTTTGCACTGAGGTAGAGAAAATACCTGTAAGTTCGATTTCTTTGATTCACAGAAGCTGTCCTCACAGGGCTCTGCTGCGAGGGAGCCATATTACGGGTTGGGCTAGGTACGTAATCATTTGGTACCACTGGAGGACGCACTGGCTCCAGTGTGCGATAGGGGGAGTGCCGCCTACAAAAAGAAGAGCGTATGTATTGTATGATTAAGCAAGTTTCGGCACAATAAATTCAAAGAGTTGCCAGCAGTGAGATACAATTTGTAATCAGAGATAGGAAATGTGTTTTAACATAACCCAGCTACCAATTTCAGTCTTTACTAATGTATCACTTCTCTACCATTAGGGTTTTGGTGAATATTGTTATTTTTCAGTCTCCAACCTCATTTCCCTGTGCTAATGCAATTTTGTTCATTTATTCTCAAAGAGCACAAAGGTTCTCTACCATTTAAGCCAATGTTTCCCAGACCCTACTCTCTTCTTAGAAGAGTTGGAATTCTTTTAGTATCATATTGAAGTCTCCCAACTGTACTTCATGAATGCACTAATTATTCTCCTCTCCCTTCTCTCCCTAACCAAAGATATTCAAAGACAGGAACCACAAATCTAGATTTCGGATCTATAACCCCCACACTGATGATCACTACTAGCCATAATAACTCATTTCCCTTTCTATATACCAAATACATAGAAATTAAAGTATATCTGTATACAAAAATACACACTTTAATCTCATCTTCCATTCTCACTTTCTCCCTCAACTTTCACCTTGATCTCTTTTCTCTTTCCCTCCTCAGAGTTCAACATTTACAAAGGTGGGGGGAAGCGAATGACCACCACAACAGCCTTTCTATATTATTTACTTTGAACTGTAAAATACAAATCAGACTGGATTTTATTAACACGTATTTCCCACCTTTTCCCAAAATTTCCTCATAAGGAGGATGAAAAGAGGAAGAAAGGAAATATGACAGGAAACAGGATGCACATGGGGAAATTAGTGATTATTAAATTAGTTCTCATTTCTACTTAGGTTTCCAAACTCTTTATGATAAACAGTCAATTGACATATTTTAGATGAGATCTTGGTCACTAAAAGAATAAGAACTGATCAAGATGTGAAAATTAAAAAGTTTTCTTTTCCTGAAATGATGTTGCTCTACTGACTTAATGTATGGATCCCAGAGTTTCTTTAACTATTGCTCTCCTGGGGCACTCAAGTTATGGATCACTGATTTTGGATGAAATCACTTTGCAATTTACTCTACTACCCTTCAAAGTCTCCTTAAATAAGTATATACATTGGTAATTAAAAATAAAATAAGGGACACTGGATGAAATCTTGGGTCAAAAGAGGAAAAAGTAATGTCGGACTTTGGATTTAAAATACTAAAAGGAAGTTCCAGCATCTCTTAAATTATAATGCAATTATTAAAAAATAAAATGGGAAACATTAATTTCTCCAACATCTAATTTTCAGACAATTTTTCCTAGGCAATAAAAATGTTTTGTTGTGGCCGGGTGCAGTGGCTCACGCCTGTAATCCCAGCACTTTGGGAGGCCGGGGTGGGCAGAGCACCTGAGCTCAGGAGTTTGAGACCAGCCTGGCCAACACGGTGAAACCCCATCTGTACTAAAAATACAAAAATTAGCTGGGAATGGTGGCATGCACCTGTAATCGCAGCTACTCAGTAGGCTGAGGCAGGAGAATCGCCCGGAGGCAAGAGAATTGCCTGGGCACAGGAGGCAGAGGTTGTAGTGAGTCAACATTGTACCACCGCACTCCACTGAGACTGTCTCAAAAAAAATAACAAGTTCTGTTGCATCCAAGTAAAAATTCTTTGATAATTGAGAACTACAGAGTGAAGGCAATGACAAAAAGAAGATTTTTCTTTAAAAAAGCAAAGGAACAAAATGCGGTGACAAGGCAAAGACTATGTGGAAAAATAGGTTATAGCCATCAACTAGCAGAGTGGGTCTCAGCAACTGTGGTCCCCAAGGATCCTGCAGAACCATTGCTAATATACGAGGAAAACAAACACTGGTATATGAGCAAATCTTCAAAACTTGAGAACACAAAGTTTCATTTTTCTAGGGACTTTCTAGGGACTAAGTAACTTATCTTACTAACAATTTTGATTTAAAACCCAACAAAATCCATAAGGCACTACACATGATACAAATGTAAATGCTTCCACAGGAAAATAAAAACAGAGTTCCTCTTCATCTCTCTACCCCCACCCCTGGCAACATTATACACTACTATGCCATCTACATTCTACCTTGAAGTTTAAATCTTACTTGATCCACTAGATTTTCTCTCTCTCTAAGCAGAATTATTTTGTCTACCCCTAATAGAGTCATCCTATTCCTGGTTGGAATTTATTTTTATTCTTTGGTCTCCTACTGTCCTGTTATCCCTCTTTCAGCACTATCCTCCACTGTATCTCAAATCAGTTTGTCCTATCATGATTCACAGTGCTTGACTGGGTTTTGGTTTTTGGAAGGTTTGTGGTTGTTTTTTTTTTGTTGTTGTTGTTGTTGCTGTTGCTGCTGCTGCTGCTGCTGCTGCTGCTGCTGCTGGTGGTGGTGGTAGTGATGGTGGTGGTGGTAGTGGTGAGGGAGCCAAAAACAAGACTGTCAATTAAAAACTTGTTTAGCATATATAATAAAGCCAATGGTTGTCAAAACATTTTGTCTTTGTCTTATACATTTTTTAAAATCCAATTTGTGGTACAGTGACCCTGAAAAGTTGATAGAGGACAAATATTACCCCCCCTTTTACAGATGAAAAAACTGAATTCTCGGCAGCTGACTATGCAGGAACTATAAAGTTACAGCACAGCTGAAACAGAATTTTAATCATCTGGCTTCTGGGCTATACTATGCCACCCTAATCATAAATCTCAATCACAATAAGCCAAGTTTATAATACGATGCTCTAGAAGAAAAAAGTCAAGCTTTTCCATTAATTGGTCATTTTTGCCAAATGTCAAATCTAGAGCCCAACTCTGTAGGACTAAAATAAAGCCCCATATTCTTCTTTTTTTTTTTTTTTTGAGACAGGGTCTCACTCTGCCACCGAGGCTGCAGCACAGTGGTATGATCACAGCTCACTGCAGCCTCAACCTCCTGGGCTCCAGTGATCCTCCTGTCTCAGCCTCGCGAGTAGCTGGGGCTACAGGTGCATGCACCACCATACCCAGCTTATTTTTGTATTTTTCGTAGAGACAGGGTTTCACCATGTTGCCCATGCCGGTCTTAAACTCCTGGGCTCAAGTGATCTGCTCATTTCCGTCTCTCAAAGTGTCTGGATTACAGGCATGAGCCACCACACCTGGCCTAAAGCTCAATATTCTTGTAGGTTTTACAGAATTTTATAATCTACACAGCTTAAAATGGATAGTTGGAGTTAAACTGTAATATAAAAGACTATATAAATTTTCTGAAAGAAAAGGAATTAAAATTAGACTGCAATTTTCAATAAATCATGAACTTGGGCTAGGATTTTACCTCAAATTTTAAATTCACTAGAAAAACAATTTCTAAACGAATCTTTTTGAACTATAAAAATGTGTTTCCCAAGAGAATAGAAAGTTATACACACAAACAATAATCCTACAAAGAAAATGCTCTCTCTTCAAATACTCAAAAAATAATTTAAATATATGTTGTGCTTCCTTTTTAAACAATACTACATGAAATGGTTTTCAATTACTACTTAGTTATATACTCACCCAAGTGTCCCTTTCCCTGACATAGGGGGACTAGGGGGCTTCTGAGTTGGAGGTGTGGTACGCGGCAGCCCACCCATCTTCATGTTCTGGGTACTCACCTAAAAAATTTTAAGGAAAACTCAAACTTGTATGCAGTGAAATAAAGTGGCACTTTTGGGAAATAATGCTACACTACGTAACAAAGGAGGGGAAGGTTTAAATACAGGGAAAAAATTAGAGGCCATGCATTTCATATGCAATTTCTACTCTACTATTATTCTACAGTTGTACTCAAAGGACTCTTCCTAACATGAGATTTTCAAATCATTATAAACTTGTACGCAAAGACTTTATTTGCCATTAGGCCATCACACCAACAGATCACTGGTTAGACTATTTGATATTACATTCAATTAAAATTAAATAGAATAACTACAAAATTTTAGTTTTAATAAAGAGTAACTCAATCAAAAACAATAATGCTTTTAAGCAATTCCTTATTTTTAAAGATAACTTTCTTTTCTTTTTCTTTTGAGACGGAGTCTTACTCTGTCACCCAGGTTGGAGTGCAGTGGCATATCTTGGCTCACTGCAACCTCTGCCTCCCAGGTTCAAGCAATTCTCCTGCCTCAGCCTCCCAAGTAGCTGGGACTACAGGTGCAAGGCACTACACCTGGCTAATTTCTTGTATTTTAGTAGAGACGGGGTTTCCCCATGTTGCCCAGGCTGATCTCAAACTCTTGAGCTCAGGGAATTTGCCAGCCTCGGCCTCCCAAAGTGCTAGGATTACAGGCGTGAGCCACCGCACCCGGCCAGTAACTTTCTTTAGATAGCAAGCTTATAAGGAAAATATATTTCCCAAATAAAAATATGCAACTATGCATATGATCCACTGTAACTAGAGAATATAAAGATAAATCATATAATATACACAGAAAATTTTAGTTTTTTAAATTGTGGGCCAGTCTTATAAGTCAGATTTAGTTAGTATCTTCTTATGAGGGAATGACCTACCTGAAAACTGCTAGAAGTTCAAGCCAGGTTCCTAAACATCTGAACCAGAAAGTTAAGGCTGAAGTATCCCATTCAACTGGGAGCAGCACAAGGGCCACAGGCAATATCCTAGTTCCAATGGAAACTGAACCCACTCAGGCCCAAACTGAAGGTGAACTCAGACATGAGAAAGATGTAACATAGCCCTAAGTCAGAGCTGGACCGTAACTCTACTCACTATTCTATCTCCAACCGAAAATGCAAGTGTGGGAAAGATGGGTAATCTGGGAATAATGGAGGTCACCAAAGGAGTATATCAGCACTTACACAGAAAGCCCTGGCTATCTCAAAAAGCTAAGAAAAGTCACTCACAAGTGTAGTTCAAATGCAGTCTCAAGAGACTACCAATGGGTTAGTGTTTACCACACAGGTTCATATCTGATCCTATTTTAAGACCCTAATATTCAAATAATACTTGAATTGCCATCTTCAAAATATATTTTTAAAAAGGACCTCAACTTTTCTAAAAATAACGTGGCTAGAGTAGTCAAATTATACTTCCTAAATAAAATTGCAAGACATTATACCATTGAAATCAGAATACATTCATAACTGTAATTTCAGAATATAAATTTTCAGAAAGCAAATCACAATTGTATACAGAAAAGTGAGGCTATCAAAACCAACCCTGGCTTAAGGGGAATTTTTTAAAATCCTAAAATAATACTTGTTATTTGAATAGGCAAGAAATACTATCTCAAGAAACAAATTCTTCAAATGAATAGCCCAGTGAACAAGTTGCGTGTGATGTTAAAACAATCTTTAATGACAAATGATACCTTTGAAATGTCAATATTTTAAAGTGAAGCATTTATCTGTAATCCTTTTGTTGTTGCTTTTAAAGAATAAAAACAAACATTATCAAGTAAGAGTAAAGATTAACTTATCCTTGCTCTCCCTCTCATTAATAAGCAGAGGGTATACTACTCGTATCTTAAAATGAAAACGCCAGAAAGTTTTTTAAAAAAAAATCAATCCACTTTTGGGGAAAATTTTAGGAGCCATGTAACAAATAATGAATAGCTTTTAAAACTGCATATCTTAATTTCTGAAACCAGAAGATTTTTTTAAAGTAGTAACCAAAGTCCTTTAAGCTCAACCTTAAAAAACATAAAACCCAAAGTTACTTTAAGTGATGAGGGAGAAGTGAACCAAACACTAAAACTACATCAATCTGCTAGAAACAGGAAGGAAAAGGAGCAGGAATTTAAGAGAGAATTTTATTCTATACATGGGATAGCTAAAATATTTGAAAAGAGCTTTCCAACTTCTATTTGTTTTAGGTTTTGGTAAGCAAGGTGTTTTTGTTTAAATTGCAGTATCTTCTGTAAGTCTTTAGACCTATCCCCCCCCAAAAAAAAACCAGCATAAAATAAACTATATATTAAAATCTGGTGGACATTTCTTTTTTATTTTTTGTTTTTTTGTTTTGTTTTTTTTTTTTTGAGACGGAGTCTCGCTCTGTCGCCCAGGCTGGAGTGCAATGGCATGATCTTGGCTCACTACAACCTCCACCTCCCGGGTTCAAGCCATTCTCCTGCCTCAGCCTCCCGAGTAGCTGGGACTACAGGCGCGCCACCACGCCCAGCTAATTTTTTATTTTTAGTAGAGACGGGGTTTGGCCAGGCTGGTCTCAAACTCCTGACCTCAGGTCTCCCAAAGTGCTGGGATTACAGGCATGAGTCACCACGCCCGGCCGACATTTCTATTAGTATAACTTGGTACATTTTATGATCTGTAGAATCATCAAATGACTGCATTTATTTGGTTAATGGGATTGGATGACTAACCTAAGTCACTTAAGAAACAGGAATCTCTGTAGAATGTTCAAACAATCTAATTTTATACCTCACTAATATTTCATTACCTTTCTATTAAAAGAGTTTTTCAATATTTCCTCAAGGCAGCTTTTCCCTTGTGAAAAATGTTCCTACATTAAGTAAAACAATAAACATGCTATGCAGAATATAAATACTGCCATCAAATTTGAAGAAAAGGAAGAACAGAAATCAATGCCAAACAAAATAATTTTTATAATAGGTAAAATCTATATTATAATTAAAGTTAAACTATATTTCAGAACTAAAATAATCTGGTACAAATAAAAATATATTTACTAGACAGCCATCATGATTGATCCTAAAAAAACTTATTTTGAGGGAAATATTTAAGAGATAAAACATTTCCTGACAAGTAGCAAAACAGATGAGATCTCTATGTGCTGATGGAGAGGAACTTAACAAGAGCAAGAGCGAGAGAGAGAGAGAGAGAGAGAGAACATATACCATAAACTCAAGACAAGGAAAACAAAGCAATACTGCAGCCACTTCATAACAGCAATTTCACTTGAAATATTTTTTAAAGTTATAAACACAGCAGAACTATCATCAGGCACATAATAACAGTTTAGGGAATTATGATATCAATGATAATTTCATTATGTATTTTTTTTATTCCATAAAATGAAAGTCCTCAAGAGCTAAGTGAAGCAGGTATTAGGTACAAGAAAGAAAAGCTGGAAAAGTTCCCACTTTTTCCCTACCAGAGAGAAACCTCCAAAACAGAAGAAATATTTCATTTAGGTGATGAAGGTTAATGCATGGCCACAGCTCAAACACTTTCCCACTGGGTTATGATGAAGGAATGCAAATACCACCAGAGGTAGAAGCAGTTCCTTTATGACTAGGCCTTGGAGATCACTACAACTGGCATCATCCATTAAGCCAATTATTGTGACTTAATGCCTTTTGTTTGTTTTTTTTTTGAGACGGAGTCTCGTTCTGTCGCCCAGGCTGGAGTGCAGTGGCCGGATCTCAGCTCACTGCAAGCTCCGCCTCCCGGGTTTACGCCATTCTCCGGCCTCAGCCTCCTAAGTAGCTGGGACTACAGGTGCCCGCCACCTTGCCCGGCTAGTTTTTTTTTTTTGGTATTTTTTAGTACAGACAGGGTTTCACCGGGTTAGCCAGGATGGTCTCGATCTCCTGACCTCATGATCCGCCCGTCTTGGCCTCCCAAAGTGCTGGGATTACAGGCTTGAGCCACCACGCCTGGCCTGACTTAATACTTTTTCTACAATGCTCCTACGTATCCTGCTCTACCTGCTTTGGTACATTCAATACCTCCTTGAATACTGATATAATATTCATTACAAATATCATGTCTGGACAGCCAAGTATCTCTAATTCATAGAAGACATCACCTCTGCTATGAAATCTCCCAATAACAGACGACCTACTACAACAGAACAGTGGCAGACACATCCTAAAATGTTATATGTGGTATACCCCTCATCTATTCATCTCCTACCAGACCTCTAGGTACAAGAGTAAAGGCATGTGGGGAAAAAAAGGAGACAAAATGGTCTATAAAATGATTTCTCTGCTTTAAAGGTATTTTGAAATAAATAAGACTCACATGCTTAAAATAAAAAGCAATGTCTGACTGGGCATGGTGGCTCATGCCTGTAATCCCAGCACTTTGGGAGGCCAAGGAGGGCAGATCACCTGAGGTCAGGAGTTCAGAGACCAGCCTGGCCAACATGGCAAAACTCTGTCTCTACTAAAAGTACAAAAATTGGCCGGGCGTGGTGGCAGGTACCTGTAATCCCAGCTGCTCAGAAGGCTGAGGCAGGGAGAATCACTTGAACCCGGGAGATGGGGGTTGCAGTGAGCCATAGCACCACTGCACTCCAGCCTGGGTGACAGAGTGAGACTCTATCTCAAAAAAAAAAAGAAAAAAGAAACGTCTACAGATTCTATAGAAATTTACAAAAAAAAAAGACATATCAATGTGAGAAGAAAAATCCTGAGCTAGTTTTTCTCTATGAAACCTTCCCTAACAATTTCTTCAACTTGTTAAGTTTTAAAAGAACAGGATTCCAGACTGGGCAACACAGCAAGACCATGTCTCTTTAAAAAAAAAAAAAAACAAACCTCCAGGAGGGGCTGTAGTCCCGCTACTTGAGAGGCTGAGACAGGAGGATCACTTGAGCCCAAGGATACAGCGAGCTACCATGCCACGGCACTCTAGCCTGAGCAACAGAGCAAGACTCTATCTCTTTAAAAAAAAGAAAAGAGAATTTAAATATACAAATAGAAGAGGTGAAGTGTATGTAGGTTGTGTCTGTATGTGAAATAGTGAGGATGGGAAAAAGCTGAGGTCAGTCACCTCTAGGCCTTCATTCTCTGTCCAGTTTTGTTTCCCATTATAGTCCCATGTAGTACATAATTCTCTGGCTTTCTAGAGACCTCTATCCCTCTCTTCAGAGGATGTATGTTCCTATTTCAATTCCTAAGGGACATCAGGAAAAGGAGGAGAAGATCCTCTGAGGAAAATCAAAGTTGAAACCAGGAATTAGAGTATAAATTCAGGACAGAGGTTAAGATTTTTAGTAAAAGGGTTAAAAGACAAAAAAGCCTATCAAGTCGAGAGTCCAATAATAAAACACAGAGAATAAGGGAACATAAGATTAGGAGTAAGAGGAAAGAGAAACAGGTAAAGAAAACAAGAGAAATAAAGATGGACAAACTCCTGCTTGATTTTGAAAACAGATTCTAACAACTGGCTTTTGTCAAAACAGAATTGATGGCTTAAGGTTGGAACTTATAGGCAAAACAGATGGGTCTCTTGAAGGTTGAGCTTTTCTTCCAGGTGCTGTATCGGATAAATTTTTAAGAGTGCACCTTCAACTGTACCTGAAAGCTAGAAATATAAGGGGAATTTATCATATTTCTGTAAGGAATGACAAATACTTGCTAAAAATAGTACTCAAGTGAAAACAGTCCATTTTTTAAACATGGGGCTAAATGATGGATCTTCAAGATACTAAGCAAAATTTTTAAAACTATTATATTCTTAATTTGCTGGCTGTAACCCTTAAGCCCTGCTCATCAATTATTAAGAATCTGAGCTGGGCACAGTAGCTCACGCCTGTAATCCCAGCACTTTGGAAGGCCGAGGCGGATGGATCACAAGGTCGGGAGTTTGAGATCAACCTGGCCAATATGGTGAAACCCCGTCTCTAGTAAAAGTACAAAAATTAGCCAGGCGTGGCAGCGGGCACCCATAATCCCAGCTACTAGGGAGGCTGAGGCAGGAGAATCACTTGAACCCGGGAGGCAGAGGTTGCAGTGAGCCAAGATCGCGCCACTGCACTCCAGCCTGGGCGACAGAGCAACACTCCATCTCAAAAAAAAAGAAAAAAAAAAAAGAATCTGCTTGGGCGATGTTCAACTGAAATAATACGTTAAGAAACATAAGTTTTTATTACTTTTGATTAAACTAATACGCTTATTTTAAAAATACTTAAGTTTAACTTCATTAGTGACAATTTTAATGTTTTCAACACAAAAATTCATTACAAACACATCATACTGACCTCAGTAACAGGGTCTTAAAATTCTTTTTCCTACTAAAAGAGTACTGGCCAGGCATGGTGGCCCACAATTGGGAGGCCGAGGTGAGAGGATGGCTTGACCACAGTTCGAGACCAGGCAGGCCAACACAGTGAGACCCCACCACTACAAAAAATTTTTTAAAAAATAGCCAGGCATGGTGGTGCACGCATGTACTACCAACTACTCAGGAAGCTGAGGCAGGAGAACCACTTGTGTCGGGGCAGTCAAGGCTACAACAAGTCGTGATCACACCAGTGCACTCCAGCCTGGGGAACAGAGAGAGACCCTGTTTCCAAAGAAAAAAAAGAATAGAGAATAGGAACCAGTTCAAGGTACATTCCACTTTTATATGGCCTTAGGTATATATGAAAACACCTCCAATATGGCATTCTATCCACTGACTTTGTACGTCCTTTGTTGTAAAACTATTACCATACTGTTTTTGGTTTGTTTTTTTTTTTGAGATTAAGTCTCACTCTGTCGCCCAGGCTGGAGTGCAGTGGCACGATCTCGGCTCCCTGCAAGCTCCACCTCCCAGGTTCACGCCATTCTCCTGCCTCAGCCTCCCGAGCAGGTGGGACTACAGGCGCCCACCACCTCACCCGGCTAATTTTTTGTACTTTTAGTAGAGATGGAGTTTCACTGTGTTAGTTAGAATGGTCTCGATCTCCTGACCGCGTGATCCGCCCACCTCAGCCTCCCAAAGTGCTGGGATTACAGGTGTGAGCCACCGCGCCCGGCCTATTACCATACTGTTTTTAAAAACCTTATGAATTCTTAAATTTGTAACTTGACTGAAGAACAACAAAAACAGTTAATCCAAATTTCAGATGACAAGAACCATTAAGCATCAAACATGCTGTATAAAATAGTAAAAGTTAAACTCTTAAACAAGGAGGTCTCTTCTGAGTCAAATCCCACACGTCTGGTCCTAAAGTATGATGACTTTCTCTAGAGTCTGTCTGAAAAGTATAAAAAGTATGACAGCAATGGGAGCAACAAAGACAGAGCTCAAAAAGTGCTGAGGAAGAGATAAAAAGAGAAGTAGAAAGAAAAAAGACTAGGTCTTAAACAGGCTTTAAATTTTAAGCACATTTTAAAGCAACATTTAATCAGCTACCCTGATTAAAATGAGGATAAGGAATCTATAATGCTATTGCCCATCAGGAGACTTCTAAGATACTTGCAAGAATCCACAGGCTCCAAAAAGCTCAGGGATCTTATCTAAGTGTGATTCTTCATTAGATCTTTCTAGGAGACTCTCAGTTTGGCCTATCTCTCACAATGGAAACAGATCCTGATGCAGGAACATCAAGAAGGAATCATAGTGGGGTTTACAGAAAACAAGCATAAGGCAGTGGCTTGGACAAGCTAAACTTTTAAGGGTAAAGAATTTGTTTGTTTCCGTATTTTTTCTTCAGTTAAACTTTCCGTGTACTTCTATCACTTTGGAGGTTAACACATCAATGGTCAAAATTTGAATACAGACTTTAGGGTAAAAGGACCAAAGCAGCCACAGTCTGCTTTTGGTCTAGTTCACTGCAACCCACCTATTTTAAGCAAAAGGAATTTCTTCACAATTCCACATCTTACTCACCATGACTGAGGATTTGGAACCAACAATCCAATCAACAATACAGGAGTCCATATGCTTGGGCTCTTCCAATCAAATCTACCTACCATGGGCAGGTGAAAGTTGTGTGGCCATAGTTAGTACTAGAGTTAATGATTCAAAGCTCAGTCATCCTGTCATCACTTTCTACACTGAAGATATGGCAAATAATGGGTGTTAGATGGGAGGAATATATATCTGAAAATAAACTATGAAACTCACCTACAAAAAAAAATCAAAGAAGAAATGCATGCTAAGTTTGGTATATAATTGTAGTAATCTTCTGTTTTAGGCAGGCTTCTTGAATATAGTTGAATTTCTTTTACCACGAATCCTCCAAAATACCAAAACATTATTGAAACGAATCATAACAGGAAATATCTCTAATTCTTAACTGATATTCCGTTAAATATTGTCATAGGCTTTTGATGTTTTGTATATAATTATATTCACCTTTAAAAACTTTTAAAGTTTATATTGAAATACATTCTTTATTCAGCTATTTGGCAAAAAGAATAATTTTTCCACAAAAATATGATACTGCAACTTAAAAAAAAACCCTGTGCCACTGAATATTTTCTGCTTCTCAATTTCTTTATACTGATTAAAAGATAATGACATATTGTCCATAAGGTATATCAGAAAGCACACCATTTATAGAATAAAAAGGCTATTACACAGGGGGAGGGTAAAATAAAGCACATTAATTGGCCCTCCAATTCACAACAAAGTCTCTATATTTATAAAAATCCAGCTAATTATATTTCATAACATTTTTATGATAGGGTGCCTTACGTTTCAGTTTCACAAAATATATTAACATTACAAAATAACCATTCATTCAACAAATATTTACTAAGCACCTAATGTGTGTCAGGTACTGTTCTAGGCACAAAGGATAGAGCAGTGAACAAAATAGACAAAAATATCTGCCCGCAAGGAACATGAAGACACACCACAAAGTTGCATGACAAAAAGTAAAACAAAAAGGAGGAATTATTTATTGAGTTTTAAAAGGCCAAGTGTTAACTATCTCTTTAACTCCCCATATGTAATATTCTACATAAGAACAAAGAATGGAAATCCAGCCCTGGAATCTCTTACCTTAAATCTAAGCAACCACTTAATGCATTAATGGAGCAAATAAAAGAGGTAAGGAAAAAAAGCATTGAAAGGTTAGTTGAAACTTCAGGATGTGAAGAGAAAGGAAAAAAAGAAAAAACAAGTTAAGCATTCAGCATTAACAAAATAATGTTTCAGTAGATCATAGAAAGAGTGGTTAAAGCAGAATGTGTCATGAACAGAAGTTTCTTTGATGAATTTAAGACATTGTTTTATTCAAAAATTTAATTTTATTAAAGATTTCTTCAAATTAATGACCCTTAAACACGGAAAGTCAAAAAATGAAGGGGCTAGAATCCTAAAAGAAAAACATTTTACTTTGAGAATTTTAAGAATGGGGGATGTAAACATATGAATTATATATATTAAAAAATCAGATTAATTTTTTCCTACATAATTGGGCAAACAGAAATATCACACTTTATATTCTAAGTATCTTTTTGGCATTAGATTCTGGCAGTATTCTAAAATATTCCATTAGCAGTTGTTAGCCTTGAATAAATTTTCCCAAGTTAGAATAAATTTCAGTTATTAACTAACCATCCAATTACACATCTTATTTTAACATGCTCTTATTAGTAATCTAAATGCATGTAGGTATTGGCTATAAAATTAAATATTGGGCAGGCACAATGGCTTACACCTGTAATCCCAACATTTTGGGAGACCAAGATGGGAAGATCACTTGAGGACGGGAGTTCATGACCATCCTGGACAACACAGACAGGCCCTGTCACTACAAACAAAAAATTTAGCTCAGCACAGTGGCATGTGCCTGTAGTCCCAGGGAAGCTGACACGGGAAGATCATCTGAACCCAGGAGTTCAAGGTTGGAGTAAGCTATGATTGTGCCACTGCACTCCAACCTAGGTGACAGAGTGAGACCTTGTCTCAGAAAACTTAAATTAAATACCATATTCCAGATAATAGTGCTTGATCAAAACTCTGAAGAGAGATTTTAAAAATAAATTTACAGTGTATATTTTCTTTTTACCTAGATCTACATTAAATTTAGATTTAACTGATTTCCATCCATAACAGTGTGTGTTTTTTAAGTATGCTTATATTAGAAAAAAAATCAACTACATGAACTGTACAGTATCATTATAAGCATGTATATATGTATATTTATTTACTCATATCTGATAAGTCACTGTCTTTCAAACTACTGATCAGATGTAAGTTGATACTCAGCTAAAGCTCTGAATCATTAGGTTCAAATACCAATTTAAATGAAATTTCCATGTTTTAGGCACCCAAATACATCTTAAAAGACAGTCAAAATATGTAATAGCTACACACTCAAAAGCAGTGGCAATATTAATTCACCTAACACTATTTTTGCCCAAGATGTTGGGATAAAATTATTTTAGAAAAATTCAAACTATATGTTTATTAATATATGTTGTTTTTGAAAACTAATGCCAAAAGTCTGCTGATAAATACCTGAGATAAGGTAAACACTTTCATAATAACATGATGAATGATTTTTTAATCAGCCATATTAAATTAAAATGGGAAAGATTACACTACACTTATTTACTCAAACCATAGGAGGTATTATCATCACTAAGCAAATACAATTCATTCAAAGATGATTGTTTAAAACTTGAGAATACAGCACTAAGAAAAAGCAAAAAGGGTAAAACAGTTATAGTAGCAAGGAATCTTCACGACAACTGGGCCAAGACTTTGTCCTCTAGGAAAGAAAGATAGATAAAAAGCTTAATTTTCTCAAGAGTTAGTTTCATTATGGGTTACTACTTTTAAAAGCTTGAAAAAAATTATACCTACCTTTACTCCATGTCCAATATCATCTAGAATTGTATAGTCAATAGGTTTTCTAATATAACGAACTGGTCGTTCAAGGTTGGCTGGAGCAATAATCTTATGCGTCCTTGAAGTGTTTTTATTGGTAGTCAAAATACCAATTTCTCTTCTTGCAACTTTCTCTTTATGAATATCAACTGTCTGCAAAATATAAATTAAAAACCACAAAAATGTACAGTTCTAATATCCACAAAAATCAAAATATATATGCCTAGAGATTTAATATTGCTACTCATATTCTAAACTATGCTTGCTAAATTTTATTCTTCTGGACTACTGACTTCCTCCATTTTCAGGTTAAAGCAAGGGCTGGTAAACCATGGCCAAATCTGGTCCATCACCTGATTTTTACAGCCCACAAGCTAAGAGTAGTGTTAACATTTTTTAATGTTTGGATAAAAGAACAACAACAACAAAAACCCTTCACGTGAAAATTATATAAAATTCAAATTTCCTTTTCCATAAGTAAAGTTTTATTGGAATACAACCATGCTGCTTACTTGCTTATTTGTCTAGACTTTACACTGTAATGGCAGAGATGAGCCACAACAGAGACGGCATGGCCCACAAAAACTGAAGTATATATTAGCTGGCTCCTTTACAGAAAAGGTTTGCCAACCCCTGGGTTAAAGCACGCTAACTTTGTCCTCTCCATTAAGATTCAGACTAATATAGTGATTAAGAAAGCCCCTGAAATTAATCTAGTTACATTTTTAATGACCTATAATTTCTATTCATGTTTAAACATTTTTTTTTTTTTTTTTTTTGAGACGGAGTCTCGCTCTGTCGCCCAGGCTGGAGTGCAGTAGCCGGATCTCAGCTCACTGCAAGCTCCGCCTCCCGGGTTTACGCCATTCTCCGGCCTCAGCCTCTGGAGTAGCTGGGACTACAGGCGCCCGCCACCACGCCCGGCTAGTTTTTTGTATTTTTTAGTAGAGACGGGGTTTCACCGTGTTAGCCAGGATGGTCTCGATCTCCTGACCTCGTGATCTGCCCGTCTCGGCCTCCCAAAGTGCTGGGATTACAGGCTTGAGCCACCGCGCCTGGCCTAAACATCTTTTTATTTAAAAGGAAAGAGGGCTGAAATATAATGTTAAAAATAAAGCCAGGCACAGTGGCTCAGGCTTGTAATCCAAGTACTTTGGGAGGCTAAGGTGGGCAGACTGCTTGACCCCAGGAATTCATGAACAGCCTGGGCAACGAGGCGAAATCCCGTCTCTACAAAAAGCAGCTGGGTATGATGGCATGTGCCTGTAATCCCAGCTATTTGAGAGGCTGAAGTGAGAGAATCGCTTGAGTCCAGGAAGTCAAAGTTGCAGAGAGCCATGACTGCACCACTGCACTCTAGCCTGGATGACAGAGCAAGACCCTGTCTCAAAAAACAAAACAGCCATTTTTTGACCCCAAAAGACCAAGTTGCTTGGGCAAAGCTGCTTATATTTTTATCATGGCAAAATGCCTGTAAAATATTTCATTAATTTATTTATATTTATTAAATGCTCCATAGGACATAAGAGTAAGAATGTACTGTAATTACAATCTTCTATTTGCTAACAGAGGGTGAATTTCTCCACATACACAGGTAGTTAGTACACTAAAGCAAAATTTTTTTAAACTGCAAGCTGCAATTTAGTGGTATGTAAGCAGCAATTATTTCAAACCAAATAGAACAGAAACATCAGACTGCATGTACACACAGTAAGGTAAAAGCACTGTTTCTTGAAAAGTCTGTTTATTACGTATATAAATAGATACATGAATTATGTGCTGAATAAAATGTAAAAAAAAATTTTTCCTGCGTTGCAGTCAAAAGAGTTTGAAAGATCACTTCACTAAAATGGTTCACATCTCTTACAACCAATTCCTAGCTCAAGCAGCAATCAACAGACACATTTTTTGCTAACTCTTCCCCAGTCCCACTTCAATGTCCTACTTCAATTTCCCCTTTGTAAAAGAACCTGGTAGTAACAATGAAAAGATAATCATAATAACATTATAAAATGCTACTTTAAGAAATCTGAACACGGATCATCTATCCTTCTAAACTGCCTCAAGTATGAGGTAAGCTTGAAACAAATTCAAAGTCTCTTATTTCTCTACAACCAAGAGATCTTAAAAACAACAGGATCTGTATGTTCCAGAGCTAATGCATGTATAAACAGAACCTCAAATAAAAAACTAACCATGGTAGTAATCTTACAATTTTAAGTATTTCTTTTCAAGAAAAAAATCATCTCTAAACTTTTCTATGCATGTTAGGCTAATTATGAGAATAGCTTTCCTCTTCAACTGCTTGGGAAAACTATAACAGAAAAGTTAAGTTTGCGTATTAGTGATGACATTGGAATTCACTTAATTTTTAACTTTAGAGAAATGGAAATTAATCACATTTTGATTAAAGTTTATTTTTATGAGACAGTGTCTCACTCTGTTGCCCAGGCTGGAGTGGAGTGGCCCGATCATGGCTCACTGCATCCTCGACCTCTCAGGCTCAAATGATTCTCCCGCCTGAGCTTCCTAAGGAGCTGGGACTACAGGCGTGTTCCACCATGCTGGCCTAATTTCTATACTGTCTGTAGAGTTGGGGTTTTTCCATGTTGCCCAGGCAGGTCTTGAACTCCTAAGCTCAAGTGATCCACACATCTTGGCCTCCCAAAGTGCTGGGATTCAGGAGTAAGCCAATGTACCTGGACTTGAATAAAGTTTAGTGACTCATTCTGAATCATTAAAAATATGGGCTAGAAACATTATTTCATACCATCAAGAATGCTTCAAAAAACAAAATATGACACTTTTTTAATAAAATGGGTCTATCAGATCAATAAAAGGTTCATCAGAAAATATAATCCTCAAGACATTGTTTTTATTCTCCTCCGTTTTTAGAAATGTACTTAACTTATTCAGAAATGAAACTACATGAGTGTAAACCTGACCAACCATAACAGAATTACAAGCTTATAGCTTCTATTTCAAATCTGCATACTATAAAGATACATTTTTTTGCAACACGGTCTCACTCTGTCACACAGGCTGGAGTGCAGTGGGACAATCACAGTATACTGTAGTCTTGAACTCCTAGGCTCAAGCGATCCTCTCACCTCAGCCTCCTGAGTAGCTAGGACTACAGACGTGCACCACCATGCCCAGCTAATTTTATTTTTTGTAGAAATGGGATGTCACTGTGTTGCCCAGGATGGTCTTCAACTCCTGACCTCAAGCAATGCTCCTGCCTCAGTCTCCCAAAGTGCTGGGATTATAGGCATGAGCCACCGTGCCTGGCATGTACTATAAATATTAATAAATCTCTGGAGAATGAACAGGGAGAAATCATCTTCCACTTATTATTTACACTAACACACAGTAATATTTTCTAACAAGCACATATTTCTTAATTGTTTAAAAAATTGAGACTTTAAAAAAGCATGAAAATATAAATTAGAAATCTCTTCATTTGATCTTATAGAGATGCGACTTGGTCTAGGGATTGGGGACATTTACATATTACCCATATGTTCTCTTCATATACACACAAACACACACTAAGCCCAAACCCACAGACCATAACAGTAAAAAGGAAGACCAATACAGCAAATAAAAAGATAACAGTAAGCCTAAAATAAGGGGTCATTGTTATAATAGAGCAAAAAAAATGGCACTAAGCCTCCAGGGAGAGAAGGCAAAGTAGAAACATAATGAGTTACAAAGAAATATATCAATTCATCAGGAAAGTGAAATGTTTCCCAGGACTAAACTCTTTAAAAATATATTTGTTGTTGCTTCTTATATCAAATCTCAGTAAAAACTGAAGGCATATTTTTTAAACATAATTTTTTAACAGCATAAGTATACAGAAAGTCAAAGTAATTTAGTTTGGCTATATGATGCTTTTAATTGTCTACTTCAAAGAATGCCTACATCTTAGAAACACTAGGGGCAGGGTAACTCAACAGTGGCACTATTGACATTTTGGGCTTGATAATTCTTTGTTGTGGTGGGGGTGAAGGCTGCTGTCTTGAGAATTGTAGAATATAGAAAAGCATCCAGGTAGGTAACTGTAGCACTCCCTTACCATGAGATGTGACAACCAAAAATTTCTAACATTGCCAAATGTCCCCTTGGGGGCAAAACTTCCCTGGTTGAGAACCAAAGATCTATAGAGGAAGGACTAATTAGCTGGTCCCTTACTTCATTCAATCTCAAATCGCAATTGTTTCCAAATTTTTTCACAAGTCGACTCAAGATCAACGCCTCTAATTTGCCTAAGTATAGATATCTGAAGTAAATAACTTTTAAAAAACATCTATAATAATAAACGTAATCTAACAAGGGTATAATTTGTATTCTTGCCATCATACTACCACACGGGGTGGAACTGCAGGAGTTCCTATGGGCAGGAGAAAATATGCCTTTAGAAAATGGCCGGCCGGGCGCGGTGGCTCAAGCCTGTAATCCCAGCACTTTGGGAGGCCGAGACGGGCGGATCACGAGGTCAGGAGATCGAGACCATCCTGGCTGCCCGTCTCTACTAAAAATACAAAAAAATTAGCTGGGCGCAGTGGCGGGCGCCTGTAGTCCCAGCTACTCGGGAGGCTGAGGCCGGAGAATGGCGTGAACCCGGGAGGCGGAGCTTGCAGTGAGCTGAGATCCCGCCACTGCACTCCAGCCTGGGCGACAGAGCGAGACTCCGTCTCAAAAAAAAAAAAAAAGGCCACGGTTCTATTTGGAGTTTGAATAATTTGACAGAGAGCACTAAATCTATTCCATAAACAAGCAGAAGATTCTCAGGTTGGTCCAGAAGATTCTAAAGGTTTTCAGCAATCATCTGCTTCAATTTTTTTTTATAGCTTTCACTTGTAGAAAATAAGCATAGTCAAATTAGACAGAATAATAAACACTCCCTCCTCACATCTATCATGCAGCTTTAACATTGATAAATTCGTAGACAATTGTCAGCTGTAAAAGAAATTTAGGAAAGCTCCTGTAACATATTCTTAAATAAAATATGGCTACTATGTTTTTCCTAAATCAAATTCACAGCTATCAGTAATTATGGCATTTGCCTTCAGGATATTCTTTGACATTATAAGGTTAAATTTCATTAAGTTAAATTCTGGAAGTACAAGTTCAACACTGATATTTAG